TACGCAGAATCGAAGGACTAAAAGAAACATTTTCTTGGGTCGAAGTCGCCTAGAACTTCGAGGGAGAATTTAAGTATTGACGAGATGTGTGATATTTTTATACAAGACCGGGTATTTTCCTGCCCAAGTCGTGAAATCATCGTGATAATGTTCCGATAATGGTTCAAAGTTTTTAATTTTTTTAACGAGACCTTTTGTTTGAACTGTTTCCCGTATTATATTGGGACGGTTTTAAGTTATTTAATATTGTGCAAGTTATTTCTGTATCATCGTTGTCGCTGTAAATACGTCTGTAATATACGTTATATAATATGCGTTACAAACGTAAATATTATTTAGGTTTTAGTACAGATGTGTTTTGTAAATGTTATGCTGATAACTAACAGTATCATCGGACTCTTCTGCGCTCAAACGGTTAATATTCATATTTAGAGATAATTAGTTTCAGTTCATCAATTTCTGCGCTTAGGATTGTTGTGCAAAACCTGTTTTACTTAACTCGACTCCCATTAGGTGCAAAAATCCTCCAGCATCTTGTCATTATGAGCATAGACATGACTTCTTTATTTGGCGTCCAGACTAACAATAAGCCTATGTGGAATCCACCCATCTGGTTTTTAAATCAGTTTTACATTCAATATTATCTGCTTGGTCAAATGTCTAGCACTTTTATAATATTATAGTAATCCTACAATAAAGGACTTGAAAAATCTAAACTGACAGAAAAATATTCAAATTTAAAGTACAGTTCTGATTGATTCAATATTAATGCGCCAAATAATCTTCTGCACTTGCATAGTACGTTGTCGCTCGATAATTTGAAGTAATTCTCATCTTTCCCCTAACAACGAATCATCCCAAAATTATTGATTCTGTTGAAATTTTACACATAGATAGAACGCCAGTAAATAATTAATAGGTATTCTGAAACTTCATGCTAGAAAATTTATTCGATCTATAATCTTGAAAACTATTCGACTGAAAACTTAAATCGCAAAGTATATGTTTGTGGTTAATGAGTGCACTTACCAATAGTTTGGAAAATTCAGGAATGCTTTTTTCAAAAATATTTTTGAAAATGATATTGAAAGGAGTTCAAAATACGTAATTAATACGATATGTGACATCGATATTTATATATTAAAGCATTTAATATATATTGTACGTGAATCTTTTCGTAGAACATAGAATACAATCAAGAGCATTTGTTTAGAAATATATAGACTGGAGGTTATATAATCACAAAAAATTATCGCTATTTCTTTTTTTAGAAATGATTCGAAAAGATTTATCTAATGTTTTCGATAAATCCCCTCTTTTTTAGTATTTTTTTCTTTTTGCTGAAAAGAATAAAATTTTCAATATTTCAATTCGTTGCGCGTTAACACGACAAAATCTACAGCAATATATGCTGCAAAGAAGAATTCTACAGATTCTCTAAAATAAAATTTTCTAAGGTGATATTACATTATAAGAGGTACATACTTAAACGTGTACAAAGACACATTTTTCGTCGCATGTTCTCAGTTAATTTTGAAAAATAAAGTTTGAGAGAAAATCTAACTACACCACACAATGGCGGATAATCGTCTTGTACAAAAGCCATCAAAGGGAAGTATAGCATAGAATTCGTCCAACGTTCCTCTGACAATGATTACACCGTTATCACATCCTGCATATACTCACATAATTGTATTAGCCTGCTTTAGTACTATATTCGTTTACAAATTATTCTATTTCACTTAAAAATGTTAATAGCCCAATTTTATTTGCACCGTAGTGTTGTTTATTTTTTACACACAATTTTCTTGTATCGTACGGTTTTACAACCTACAAGTAAACATTTAAAGTATCTATTCGAGTAAAAATGCATGCAAAAACACATTATTCTCTGATACACATTTGTAGTATCTAGAATTTTTAGCGTAGGTTAAGGTATTTTTAGGAAGAGTGAATGTAAGAATGAGTGTGAGTGAAGGACAGGCTGTAAAACGGTCGAGGGAAAGTGGCCTGCACAACGTCGCGGACCCAAGACGGCAGGGCCAGCTTTCCAGGGGTGCATCCGAGTGTTTATGATGAGTGCAAGTGAGAAAAATGCTTGTGGGGGAGAGAATGTCTATAAGAGAGTTGCGGAAGCAAGAGTCGTGTGTTGGCCTCCGTGGCATTGAGTTGTATTTTTTACGTGTTGTCCGTGTTGTTTCCATATTTTATTAAATACATATATTTATTCCTAGTTCTCGATTACTCAAGATTCACTCTTTCACTGTCTATAATATAGTAACCACTATACATTGAGTATGCTAATACTTTCCTGAGTTACTGTATAATCATTAAAAGTTTCGATATATTGTTATAACTATTGCATGTAGTTGTAAAGCCAAAATAATAGAACAAGCATTAATGGGACACGCCACCAATAGAATAATTTATACTCGAAAGAATATGATAGAGTAATGAAAAAGTATAAAATCTTAAATATTTTAATATTACATTTGTGATATTTTTATAACTTAAAAGGATGAACCACTGAGTCGTCTAAAAATAGATAAACTTTCAACATTTTTTCGTTGATAACTATTAACCAAAAAATTCTTATCTTCCTTAAATGTGTAAACGTGATCTTCAGCTTTATATTTATATTTTTTTTAACAAAAGTGTGAAAAGATAGCGAAGCTATTTGCTAGCTTCGGAATCTTTCTCGTAGAATATCAATTACTTGCGGACACCATTGTAAACAAATGAACCATCCGAAATGAACAATTTGTATGGATTTATAAATAGAAATGTATTACATACAATGTAGCGAACAGATTTTTAAAAATTTAATTATTATTTTAATTTATTTTCAATTAACTTCAAGTGTTTGTGAAAAATTAAATAATCGAGATATCGAAAGATTCTACAAAAAGGAATTTCTTCCGTATTTGGACGTGTAGCTTTGGAAATCCTCTGTTCGCAAGTATGAAAAGCGAAAATTTGTTGAAGTTGTACTTTCAGTCGACTATTCCAAGTCGGTTTACTAATTCTTCCAACTCGAAAAAATGATATGTAATAATTTTGTATTTTTCGCCAGTAAGTAGTTTCCGAGCTTTTTTCGATTGTCATTCACTTTTCCTACAATCGTCGTTCGTCTATATACGTTACTATAGCTTCACCGAGTGTTTACAGTTTGAAAAATCTCTTTGTCTAATGTTCTACATATTTAATAGTGTAAGAATAATTTTTAAAAAATTTGTTTTCTTAATTCATCCCGATGGTCTACTCCCATAAACTACTAAAGGTAACTGATTCCAATTAAACAAGATTTCGCCCGAGTATTGCGCTTTATATAGAATATTTATTCGATCTCCTCGAATGAACAGGTTTTTCACCGTAAATTTTTCACGGTATAAATGTTGAAGAACGCTTAAACCTCTGATATGTATACTAATTTGTTTTTTAATGAAATCTATGAAAACCATAATCCTGGCGTACTGTGTGAATTTCGTTCTGAATTTTACTTGAAAAGTTTTGCTTCTGTTTTATCATTTCTCCGATGATCACAGATCAGCTTTCCCAATGAAGCCTAGGGTTCTTTTGCGTGAAATGGCCTTTAACTTCTACCGTCTCGAGCATAAAACCCGAATATCCTTACTCGCAATACATTCTAATACCACCACCATTCTACCTGGGAAACTTTATACGGTTCACAGACGCACCGATACGTACACTTCAACGAAAGAACAGCTAGGTGCACCTACCGTGCGTTTGTATTCGTATTGGATGCCATTCTACCAACTGCAAGCTTTTACGACTTACGTGCTACGCTCCTCACTTTACGTGTACGCTCTATACGTAACGTTATGCCCTCGTAACTTCGTCCAAGCGTGTTGATTGCACCGTCGAAATATCCAGGTTTGAGATATCGACGATCTACAGGAAAAGCAGCTCACAACAACACACGAGAGAGAAGTAAAGGCGACCGAGGAGAATGGTTAAAGACAAAATGGCGTGTACACGGAAACTGATGGAAAGATTGCAATCACATTAAAGAAAACTACCAAAAACCAATATTTTCTAACCAAGATTACGCAGATGAAATTCGATCGATATTCGACATGATATCTTATTTCGCTAATTGAAAATTCACTTTTCAATAACTTCTGTAAGTAATAACGATACGATTTCTAACATGAAAAATTCTTTTAATATTACTAATTCAAAAGTTATAAAATCGTCTCCTGACCGTCCAACTGGGATGACAGCCCTTGTTTACGCAGGACATTTCAAAACAATTCTGAACAATTTTTATGAAAATTATTGAATAATCTACTCAATCCAGCTAACGTACTGAATCCATCGCTAAAGTTATGTTCGCATGTTTCGAAACAACCTGTATAGCAGAAAGAAAATATCGCAAAATCGAACGATATTAAATGTCTAAACGTTTTTAAAAATTCAATAATTTACTGCATTTATGTCGTGCTTTAACGTACTGTAAATCGTAAGTATGAGATTTTTGTAAATTCTTCTTATTCAAACCACGATTAAAGGTTGTTTCGCTTATTCCTTCAGATATGGAACAGTTAAGTTGCATTCTGTTAAGTCACATTTGTTACTCCTACGTACTTTGCGTTTGTCTTGTCTTTAGATTATGAATATGGAATCATCAATTTCGCAGATTCTTATCCTCATATTTTACACCACTAAACGAGGAG